TTCGACCAGGGCCGGACGCGAGAGGTCGCCGCCGCCTATCGCCGCTACGAGGACACGGCGGTGCTCCGCCCAGGCAGGGCACACCTCCACGGTGTGCTCCACCGTGTCCTCCGGTCGATCCTCGCAGTGGGAGCACCCGGGCGTTTCCTCCCGTCTGATTCGGTGCAGGAACCTCCCGAACACACCGTGTCCGGTGAGGACCTGCGTCAGGCGGAAGGTGAGGACGCCGTGGCGTCTCTCAAGCCACTCCTCAAAGAGGGGTCTTATCGCCGCTATAGTGGCGTGCCCAGCACGGGGTTGCGACAGTCGCTCTCTCCATGTCGCCATGAGATCATGCCGGAAGTCTGTCCGCTGCACGACAACTTGCCATGGCAGCGGGGTTTCCCCCCGGCATAGTGCCTCCGCGCGCCATTCGTGTAGGCGCGCGAGGACTATCGCCTCCAGATCCCATGGTGGCAATCCGGCAAGGAGGCACGCTGCCTCGCGGGAGATCGTGCGGTAGCCGCGAACCATTCTTACGGCGACCACCTTTTGGGGCGCGTTCAGGTGGTGGACGGCAAGCCGCGCCAAACCACGCGCCCACACCGGGGCCCCGTAAAGGGCCATGGACCGCACAATCCCCGCGTAGAGCCTCCGGCAGGAGGCGTTTGGCCCCCCCAGGTTCGGCAGGAGCCGCCTGAAGGCAGCCCCGGTCCGTTCCAGTTTGGGAGCCAAACGTCGGAAGTGCTCAACGAAGTTCCATCGGCCGTCGAGGACGAGTCCTAGGTACTTCAACGTCGACTCGACGCCGATGGATACCCCTCCTACCATCGCTGAGGATCCCGGTGGTGGCCTGTTCCGAGGACCATGGAAGTGCATGGCCTCGGACTTGTGCAGAGCCACCTCAAGACCCAGCTGCCGGATCCTCTCAACGACTATCGCAACCCCGCGTGTCATATTTTCCGCCGCCGCCTCGTACGACCCCCCCTGTGCCAGTACCAGCGTGTCGTCAGCGTAGCAAACTACGCTGACGCCGGTAGGGAGGTCGGCGCGCAGCACCCAGTCGTAACCGATGTTCCACAGGGGCGGCCCCAGAACCAAACCTTGTGGGACACCGCACGACATCTCTCACCGGTTCCACTCACCGTTGCGACCGGGGTAGATGACTAATGGGTGTAAAAAGTACACTTACACCCATTAGTCATGCCTAAAAGAAAATTAAATCTCTCTAAAATTACGAAAAAGGCCAAAAGTCAAAGACTGCAACGAGAAAATGAATCTCAACAGGATAAAGAAAGTCGTCTTACAAATTGTATATTAAGGCAATCCATGTTCAGGTTGACTGAAAGTAGTTCTGAGCGGAACGAACGATACAGTTACATAGATACATACAGTTAGATAGAACCCATCATTCATGTTAAGGAGTCAAAAATATCAGGAGTCTAGAGAACAGCATCTAGAAAATGATCGTATTCGACACGCTATCTCGCGAAGCCTAGAATCAAACGATACTAGAGAAAAGTGATTAGACAATGACCGTATTCGACACGTTGTTTCACGAATCCTAGAGTTAAGCGATTCCAGACGGCAGCGATTAGAAGATAACCGTGTTCGACACGCTGTCTCGCGAAGCCTAGAGTCAGACGATACTAGAGAGCAGCGATTAGAAGATGACCGTATTCGACACGCTGTTTCACGAAGCCTAGAATCAAGCAATTCTAGACAGCAGCGATTAGAAGATGATCGTGTTCGACACGCTGTATCGCGAAGCCTACAATCAGATGATATTAAACAGCAGCGGTTAAATGATGACCGTATTCGACACTCAGAGTCACGTTATCCAGAATCAGATGATACTAGAGAGTGACGAATGGAAAGTGATCGTCATCGTCACCAAAATCAATGTGAATTTGAAAGTCAAGAACAACATGACATCCATATTACAGAGCAATGTGATCGATATCATGAAACACAACGACAGAGAATTGAGCACTTAGCATAGCTCTGTGAAAGTGTGAGTATCATTCGTCAGTCAGAAACAAATTTTAAGAAGAAAGAGAAAACGCGTCTCGTTACTGCCAGACAAACGACAAGTGCTATGCGGCATATTGAAAGTGAAGAGAACCGACGACAACGACTGAATAATGACAAAATAAGAAGAACTAATAGACGTAATATTGCATGGCGAGAAAAACATAACAGTGGATTCAATTATAATGCCCAAATAAATTATTCAGCTGCATCAGAGATAGGCCCTATGAATGTATGTTGCAACTACTGTAAAGTATTGAGGAGGAAAGACGAGTCAAAAGGAATTTGTTGTTCTTCTGGAAAAGTGCGCTTGGACTCTATTCAGCAGCCACCTGAGCCACTTAAGTCTTTGTTATGTAGCGAACATGATCAATCTCAACATTTCCTACATAATATTAGACGTTATAATTCGGCTTTTCAAATGACTTCTTTTGGGGCAAAAGAAGTTCACGAAGGAAATTATATGCCCACGTTTAAAATACAGGGGCAGGTGTATCATTTAATTGGTTCCCTTCTTTCAGTAGACAATGTGAGGGAATCATTTTTACAAATATATTTCATTAGCGATTATGTACTACAAAGAGACATAAGATTACAATGATTTCCAAATTTAAACCCTGTGTTTGTAGAAAGCTTGAAAAGTATGCTTATTGAAATACACATTACATTCTTGATTTCACAACTGCTCTTCAATCTTTCCCACTAAACTCAAATGACTATAAAATAGTGATACATGCTGATCGACGACCTTCAACAGGGCATAACGGTTGCCATAATGAACCGACAACAAACGAAGTATTTGTGTTACTGGTAAATCAATATTGTGATAAGCGAGACATAATAATTCGCAGAAATGATAATAGATTGCAGGGAATCGCCAAAACTCACAGATCCTATGATGCTCTACAGTATGCCCTAATGTTTGTTTATGGGGAATACGGATATAACTTTGCGGTCTATCAAGTCAACCTCAACACAGGCCAACCAAATTTCCAAAAAAAAGTTTCCGCACTACAATACTATTGTTACCGATTGATGATTAGAAATAATGAGTACAATCATTTGCATAATTACAAACAATTATTTAATCAATATTTAGTGGACGTATACTTTAAAATCGAAACGGAATGACTCATTTTTATACGAACTAATCAAAAAAAGCTTCGAGTTGAAAATTATATTCAACTGCAAGACACAATCAATCAGAATGAAAATGTTGGGCCGGTTAGTTATTCTACCTTCATAGTTTACGGGAGAGCTATATGCACCAACGCACACAGAATGCGTTTTGTTATGTTAGGAAATATGGACGTCCCGATCTTTTCATTACGTTCGCGACAAACCCTAAATGAGATGAAATCACAAACGAACTTTTTACAGAACAGTTGACTTCTGATCGACATGATGTTGTAGCGAGAGTTTTTAAACAAAAACTAAAAAAAATGATGGAGCTCCTGGTGAAAGGAAACATTTTTTGTTCCGGATTTTGATATGGTTAGTAGCGAAAATAAGAGCTGAGCAAATTGATGATGTTATTTGAGCAGAATTGCCAAACCAAGAAGTGGATCCAGAGCTATTTGATGTTCTAAAAACCAACATGGTACATGGTCCATGTGGTCCTATCAATTCTCAATCTCTGTTTATGAAGAATGGTATTTGTAGTAAAAGATTTCCTAAATCTTTTAGTACAGAAACTGTTACAGGTGAGGATGGTTATCCATTTTACAGACGTCGTTCACCTGAAAACGGTGGTAAACAAACTACAATCCGATCACGAGCTAACTCTATCGATATCGACAATCGCTGGAATGTTCCATTTTCACCGGTACTGTCGAGAACTTTTAGAGCACATATCAATGTTGAACTTTGTAATAGTGTAAAATATATAAAATATATTCGAAAGTATGTCAACAAAGGCTCCGACTTGGCGGTATTTGGTGTACAAAATGCTAACGATGAGGTGACATCATATCAAAATGGAGGATATATTAGTACTTCTGAAGCAGTCTGGCGCATTTTATCATTTTCGATTCACGAACATTTCCCCGCAGTAACACATCTGAATATTCATTTAGAAAATGGCCAGAGAGTTTATTTTGATCCAAAAGATGACCGTGGAGTGATAGAAAATCCGAAAAATACGACATTGACGGCGTTTTTCGATCTATGCTATAACGACGAATTCGCAGCTACTTTATTGTATGAAGATGTACCAGGTTATTACATATTTAAAAAACAAAATGGAACATTCCAACGACGACGCCGAGTTACTCCTGTAGAAGGTTATCCTGGCATATTTCACGAGCATACTCTTAGTAGAATTTATACAATACAAAATCCTAATAATCGAGAATTTTATCATCTAAGGATGTTATTAAATGTTGTCAAGATACCAACTTCTTTCGAAATTCTCCAGATAGTGTATGGTATTTTACATCCTACATATCAAGCAGCACGCCTTGCACTTGGTTTACTAGAAGGCGATAATCACTGGTGCGACACATTAACGGATGTCAGTATAAGCAGCAGCGCATCTAAATTTCGAGAGCTATTAGCCATTATATTGGTATTCTGCAATATTTCTAAGCCCTCTGAGTTATGGGATAAGTTTAAGGATAATTTCATAGAAGATTATGTAAAAAACTTCCAACGACATTACCCCGATGCAGACATAAATCTCAATTTAGAAACAGTCATAAAGCCAAAGTATTACAAGATTGTACCTTTGTAACAATTGTAACAAAAAATTGACGAATGCACTATGGCAAACAAAATTTCATCGAAGCCGTGAACAGAACAATGCAAGACCTAAGAGGTAATACTCTATTATTTGGAGGACTAACATTTTTATTCGCTGGAGATTTTAGGCAAATATTACCAGTGTTAACTAAAGGTACGCGAGCAAATTAACGCCAGTTTTAAACTGGCGTTAATTTGCTCTTTGTTCAGTATTGTGGAGACATTGTAAAACACTTCATTTAAAAGAAAACATGAGATCACATTCGGCCGATTCAGAATTAAGCAAAATTCTTCTTGATGTTGGAGAGGGGAAATGTCCAGAAGTGAATGATAATCATAATATAGAACTACCCACCGGTCTTTGCCATGTAGTGGCGGACACTGAAACTTTAATACATAGCACTTATGATGATGTTCACGATCTAAATATAAAAGAAGATTCGTGGTTGTGTGAACGATCAATTTTAGCACCAATGAACGACCAGGTTACTGCGCTTAGTCAACGTATTTTAGATAAGCTTTCTGTCGACTCACAGACATACCCTTCCATCAATACAGTTTGCAATCTGGATGAAGTAGTTAATTATTCAACAGAATTTGTAAACAGTATAAATATGCCTGGTCTACCCCCTCACAAATTAGAACTTAAGATTGGCGTGCCCATCATACTTCTCCGTAATTTAAATCCACCGAAACTTTGCAATGGTACTAGATTGCGAGTAGTGTCATTGCAAAGAAACGTTATAGAAGGACGCATAATATCCGGATGCGGAAAGGTGAGACAGTATATATACCAAGAATTCCCATAATACCGTCGAATTTTCCCTTCGAGTTTAAAATACTGCAATTTCCTATCTATGTCAGCTTTGCTATGACAATCAACAAGTTACAAGGGCAAACGTTGAGCAAAGTTGGCATAGATTTAACTAAGGGTTGCTTTACTCATGGGCAGCTATACGTGGCGTGCTCACGAGCTTAGAATGCCACTAGCGTTATTGTTTTAGCCCAATAAAATCGAAAACCAAATATTGTATATAAAGAAATTTTTCAGTGAAGTTAGAAAGGCCAAAAAAGGAACAAAAAATAACGAAATAAATAAAAAGAGTTACAAAAAAGCACTAAAAAGTTTAAAAAATATTTAATTCTACGTGGACGAAGTCGCGGGTAAAGGGGATTTTTGTTAAATATATGATAGTTAATAAGTTACTTATAACAAAACAAAATCAATTTTTTAAATTTTTGCCTGTCTGTTTGTTCCAACTAATCTCCGAAACGGCTAGACCGATATTAACGCGCTTTTCACAAGGGTATAGCTGATATTATAAGGTGTAACTTTTATATTAAAAAAATAATCAGGGTTCCGCGCAAAAATATTAAAATATATCGTAACAAATATTCGTAAATCGTAATTTATTCCACGCGGGCGAAGCCGCGGGGAGCAGCTAGTAGTATAATAAATCTCAGTTAGTAATGTGTTGTTAGTTCTTATAAAAATTAAATGAAATATTATTTTATTGATTGTTTCGACTATTTGATTTAAAAAATACTATCTTGTTGGCCATACAATACCTATTAAGTGCGGAATTTGAATCTGCGGTCCGCATTTCCGCAGCCAAACTTTTTGGTACATATTTTACAACCGTTAAACAGTTGATTCAAATAAAAAAAAATACTAACCACATTTTCAAGTCTGATTAAAAATAAATAGTTAAAGAGTACTCACACAACAGGTCATATATTATCATGTGCAGTGTAATAAAAATTTTAGCGACTTAGGTGAAGTAGTTATTCACGCATAAATTTTCTATTTTCTATTATTTTAAATTTTCAATTATCAGTACCTATTTTCCAAATTTTAGTTTTATGTGCATGGGAATGCATGCAAATCTGTATGTGCTAGAATCATTATCATCATCATCATTGTATCCCTTCACAAGTCCACTGCTGCACATAGGCCTCCCGCAAGTAATGCCACAAGGCACATGTCTTCCTGCATATCTTACTTGATCGTCACTCTATCTAGTGTGGGGCCACCCTGCACATAATTTCTAATAGCATTATAAATGAAAGATATACAGTCTTTGTCTCCTAGAGCTGCATTGATAAATTAAATACTATCCCGTTATAGAAACGCAATTATCGTAATTTGAGACTATGATTTTTCATTTATTTCTTCATATTTAAAGTTTTATAAAAGAAAAGTCAAATGTACTTATTATATATACAAGAAGGGTTGTCGGTTCTTCGCGCTATATGGCCAGTCTAATGTTGCTTCAGCTTACTAATCCGTTGGATTATGTCAGTTACTCTATTTCTATTGTGAATATCCTCATTTATGTGCTAGAAGAAAATATTTAATAATTTCTAGTTCATTTTAAAAAGTGTTATATTATTTTCTTAGTTAAATAAATTGTTCTGTTTACAGCTATTGTAAAATGCGAAATGTAAAGTATAAGAGACGACCGTTGTTAAAATTAAATGGGCCCTTGGGTATACAAGGAAAAAGAAATCTAACTGTGAGCGACAAAAAATACGTAACAAAGTTCTTTTTTCCCTTATTACTTGAAAATCTGTCTTGTTTTAAGTTCTGACAATTTATATGAGTAATCTTTTGAAGTTATTTTACACAAAACAGTTCAATAAACCTTAAAAATTTAACTGAATTCTGAATAATTATTATATTTAAGCAAATATAGGCGTAAAAATAATTTATTTTGCGAAAGTTATGGTGGTTTTCAATTTTTAATTTGATTTTGAACGCTTTGCAACATGCGTGATCCTGGGGCGACATAGGTTTTTAATCCTCCAATAACCAAATTTCTAAAAAGATTTCGAAGCATCATTAGAGTTGTAAACGGCCCCGACGGAGTCGCGTTTTGTGGTTTTCCTTGGGAAAGGCCTATGATCAGCAATGGAGAAGTGTGATGGGTTGTAATTAATTAATGATAAATCAAATAATTAAGTTAATTCAAAATACCAACATTGTAGTACAAACTGTTGCTATAGCGTGTCTTAGTGGTCAGAGTACATACTACACAGGTAACATGTTCCTCAGGGGTTGCAAAGCATCTGTATTTTCATTCCTTATCAAAGACAGATTCAAAATGGCTACAGGTTTTATTTCGAAACATTCGATAGCGATGGAAAAATTGTGTGCTCGTTTTTCTCCTTTACATATTAAAGTTCACTGCTGAGCATAGGCCTCCCCTATAGATTGCCTCATAAGAGGGACATTTGCTATAAACACCATGCTTAGCAAGCGTGTTGGCAAACGCAGTTTTTATTTTTGTCTTTATCAGGAAGACACTGCTGACCATCTCCTGATTTATTACCTTATGTCGCCTCTTACGACATCCACGGGATGATATGGAATAGTGGATATTCTTACACCGCTACTACATAGTACTTCTTAAAAAAAGCTATGAGAAATCTGAATTCGTTTGCTTTATTTATTTCTGCAATTGACTAAATAAAGTAATTTTTCTGGAAGGTTTGAATAATATTAAAACACGTTACTACTTTGCAGAACTAGGTTGTTGAACTTGTGTTTTTTCTGAGTTTTTTGGAGTTAGTCTGTGTTGGTATCACTGACTTTTCTTTTTCTGCCAAGAATCAACAGTTCACCATTTATTCCGACATCAATGTTAACCGTGTCATTATAAAAAGTTGTTGAAAATTTGTCTAGGCTTAAACAAACTACAAACGGTCTAACTTTGGAGGAAAAAACAGGAGGACACGGAATGACGATTTTATCAATTTTTCATTGGAGTGATCGGATCCTAGCTTCAGTTGTTTCTCCCGGTTGCCAATCTCGATTGTTAAAATAAACACGGCAGCTACAGATCGTTAGATTAAATTGTCTTTAGAGATCCAGAATTATCACATGCTGCGAACCATTATCCTAGTCGTCATACGAGACACGGCAGTACTTAGCTGGTATTTTACACTGGTATTCTGTGAGAAAAATTCTCACTGTGTAGTGGCGATGTAAGAATATCCACTACCACGTTTTGTCCCGTAGGTTTTGTGGCAGACGACAGAGAGAAACTGAAACGGAAGAGGAGCAGCAGCATCTGGTCCTGGTAACAAATTCAAATAATAAAAAACTGTGGTAGCCAACCCGTCTGCCTACCAAGTGTGCAACTAAGGTAAAGTCCTTCCTATAAAAGCAATACATGAGGGAGGCATATGTTCAGCAGTGGACTTTTATAAGCCTAATGGATGGACGGATTCTGTGAGAGCGTGGTCTTCTTCCAATAGAAATGATCCATTCCTGTTACAAGCATAATAAATCTGCAAAAATTCTCCACTACGTATAACCACTGTCACGTTTCCATTAAAAGAAAAAAGTCTTCCAAATGTTTCAATAGCAAATAATGCTATGTATGTGATGAAGTTTCTTTATTTACTCAACTAACCTTACAACCGAGCTGCGAAAATTTCAGTGTGTAATTTCGTTTCAAACAGCCCGTTGCCTTTGTACAACTAATTCGCTTGTTCTGATTGCTCTGGTGCATGGAATAGCCACAATTGTTTGGGAATATACTGTTTGTATAGTAACAGTATCAGTGAAATTTACGTTAATATATTAATTTCTTCATTTTACGTGGTAGAGCCATACTGCGGCTATATTAATAGTATAGTCGTAGCACGAATGGGTCGGCTCGACCGGGGAAGGACCACGCTCTTACAGAATACCAGCGTAAAATAGCAGCTTAATGCTGCTGTGTTTCGTATGGTGAGTGTAGAGAACCGGAGACCCTTTTTACTGGACAAGAGGCATTCTATCTTAGTCCTCACGGGTGACAACGCATCTGCTTTTTAATTCGTAAACGAAGATAGATGTAGATGTCTATGGGCCACAGCAACCACTTACCATCAGATGGGCTGTGTACTCGTTTGTCACCCTTATTCTATAAAAAAATCTGTTATAAAATATCCAGTTTCGAAAATAATAGAAGAGACTCAAGTTATTATTTAATGCCAACTACCCACTAGGGCAGTGCGAAGTAAAAATTATTTCACGGCACGTCTATGGCCTCATTAAACATTTCTTTAGTAAATGGCACGTTGATACATAAAGGATCGCCCCCTTGCACTAGGATTTGCTCCTGTATCATATGGGCAGTATACATAGGTGCATAATTTTCACAAGGACAAATTTCCAGACCCGGACCAATTATTTGTACACCATACAAATATTTACTTGTTCTTTGCGGAATTCGAACCCGCGGCTCTCAGCGCTGCTGATAGTAAAATTCACTTTAATCACTTTAATGGTCACGTTTAGCAGGCGGATTGAGAATCGATATTCCAGACGTCTCGCACATTTACGCTGCTACCCATCGTTGGTCTGGGTATTTTATATCTCGTGTATTTGGATCATTGTACTTTCACTATGTTTGGTTTAGTAATTAATGTTCATTTTTCAACCGAATTAAAAAAGGAGGTTCTTAATTCGACTGTATTTTTTATATGAACTGCTTTTGATGATTTTTTTTTATTTGAATGCTGGTGTTTCTCACGTGGTCCCATATTAATTTGATCAATATTTTACCATTCGGTTTTGAGTTATTCTTAATAATGCGTTCTTAATTGACTTCGACTATATTGATGATGTGCTCATTTTATTTATATGGAAGTCGCTTATACAAAATTTTTAATTTTACCACTTGTTTATTACTACTAAAGTAAACGTATATGTAATCATTTCCTATATTCAATACTAAACATCGTGTTAAACGTATATTACCTACTTTAGTAGGGCCCCCATTTATCCAAACTAGCAAGCTAAGTTCTGCAGCTTATG